AAAATTCACTGTGCAAAAGAATTTTAAAAGAATCTGAAATCTAGAAGTATTTTACTTAAGAAGCAAATATACCTATTATTGGACTATGTATAATTACCATATATTAACAAAACTCAATTAACTGGAAAAAAGTAACTGAATATGTTCTTGCTAAAGGTTGAACTAACAATACTTTGCCTAATTATGTATAAGAAAATGATGTAATTTGCTTAGATTGTTATAATGAAATTATAACAAGAAGCTCGCTTGAATTTCAATAACATGCTTAAAATAATAAATTTTAATATACTCAAATCAGAAACTGTGAATTTAATAAGATTGAAAGTACTAATATCATCTTATTCTTTTCTAAAATAATAAAACTACTAATAAACATTTTATATACTCGAGAGAATAAAGAAAAATAGCTAATTTTGTATTTTTTAATGAATTTCAAAGAACTATGAAAATAAAGAATATAAGGTTAAAAAATTTTTTTGATGAATTATATTTCTTATTTAACCCATCTTCTAAAAATAAAGATTCATAGGCTCAAGTAAAAAAATAATTATTAGTTCAGAGCGTAGTGAAGGACTATTATAGTTCAGGTTCAGTGACATAAAATATCGATCTGTCTGCCCACTTGACTTATGAGATAATGACATTCAGTTATTGTGTTTGTCAGTATTGCTCGTAATCATTTCCCAAATCTTATCAAATTTATTTAAAAACTTTTTGCATTAAAAAAAAAATTTTTCAACTTTATATTTTTTTTATATTTGTATTACCATTTTTTCTGAAAAATATGAATTAAAATAATATTTTGATACTTTGTTCCTATTTTTTTTAATGCTTTGTACTGTTATGTTAAATTGTATCTTCTTCCGGTATTAATGAAACTAGTTGTTCTTCTTCAAGCTTCCTTTCTTGTAACCTTTGCAAGTTCTTTATACAAAACAACCTTTTGAATATGAATTGTTTGAAGGAGATATCATTTAGTGAACGGATTCGTAATATTGTGATAAAAGAATTTTTTTACATTAATGGGAAGTCTGAAACAAATATTTCCAGAATATTTTCTCCACATCTCTACCACATCTTCACACCTTTCATGCTCTAGACTTCACAACGGCCTTCGCTGTTCTCTAGTTATTTATATGCTATTTTCTTTGTGAAATCTGAAATAAGTTTGTCAATGATGCAAAAAGAAATTTAACCATGTATTTAGATTCTACAGGTGCTTCTAATACTTCTATGAATACTCTTGTTGATCTAGGTGTAATTATATCATCACGTACAGTCTCCCAGTATAAGACAACTATATCTGAAGAACATGCTACATTGATCAATTCTACACTTGCTAAATACGTAAAGAATGCAATATTATTAAATATAGATGATTATTATAGCATTCATACAAAATGGATGCCAAATATAACTATTACATTAACTGCTATGCATCTAGCGATAATCTTAATGAATCTAATTATGACACAGCCTGTAATTCTAAAGACGAATATCCATAATCCCGTATTAGTTGATACTAAATTGATTAAGATCAATATTAGAAATAGGTTTATAAAGCTTTATGGCATTTCGCATTACTGACGTTAGAGATTTCATATGATTGATGATGATACAAGACTGGAAGAGTTAATTGTATATAGTTATGATATTAGATTGAAGGAGAAACAAAATACTCATTTGATGAAGAATGTCATTCTTATAGATTTATAGGAGTATGACCTTTATTCTTTGAATGCATACATCAAAGCTATTAATATCATTGTAAATGTCTCATCTATGTGGCAGTATATTTAGCAAGGACATATAATCCTTATTGTTACTGATTGGCCTGGACAAATTTACCTTAGAACAGCTATTTCACACTACTTATATTATTATGATTTATTGAATATTACTAATAACATCTTGTCCTTTCTTCTTATTATAGGTCCTTTGCATATTTCATTGAATAGTCAAAAATTAATTTTCCTTCAATACCAGTCTTTTTTTCCAGCTATATATACATATATTTTTAGAAGAAATAAATCTCTCGTACAAAAGCCCAAGTCATGGCAGATCAATCTTCTTTTAGAGGTATCTTGCAGTACTTGGCAGGAAATTTCTATTGTCGTTTAAACAAAATTCAGACCTTTGTATAAGAATGCTAAATATCTTGTATTCAAAGACCTTCTTGACAATACGATTCTACTTGTATTAGATATTTATGCTGTATTTTTTCACTCAGGTGACTTTAATACTTATTTAGAAGCTTATCTTCGTATCTGAACAATATTCTTTAAATTCTATCACAGAAACTATACCAAGGCCTTATTGATGTTTCTTTCTGATATCTTTTACTAGAAATTAAACAATCATCTGATACTAGAAGTAATTAAAGCTAAACTTCTAAAGTTCTCAGATTCAACTGTAGAAATCTTTCATGACTTATTACGTAGAAGTATACAAAAGCATACAGAAGCATAACAATCATCAAATATAGATATTATATTAATCAGTTGCATTTGAATGATAATAGATTTAGAGAAAATTTTACACACATGTCTACATGGATGGCTTATAAGTATTCTGCTTAAGATATAACATTTTTGATAAAAAAAAGCACTTATTTTCTTTTGCAATGTTTTTCAAAAATTTTTACACGCTTATTTTACCACAAATTACTAATATTATTTTCATTGTAAGTAAATCTACCTTTAAAGAAGAAAGAGAAGAAGAAAGGCGAAGAAGATCCTGATATTGTTCCATTAGTTGCAATGAAAATGCCAAAATCACAATTACACCATCTTCCTTTGGATTTTAGCACTGTACAAAAGCTATATCAGTTATGTTACTGTGATGCGTCTGACTGTTTATTTTTCTTATCTATTAATAGGATGATCCTATTGAAGTTTTAGCTTGTGATCACATATATTATAAGTCCTGTTATAGTAATATTGGATTTAAATGTTTACATTGTTATTATTCTTATGTAATGGTGTTGATGAGTATGTTCGATCTTTATTGAAATCTTTAAAAAGTTTAGATAAAAAATGGAAACAGGATGTAGAACTGGAGAATAATATTTTTGATGATAATGATGATGGTATAAGCAAACAGGTAAACCATGTAACATTTGCATTAGGAGAAACATTACAAAAATTTCAATAGCAATAAAAAATTATATATATATATATTTTTTTAAATATTATATAAAATCAATAAATTAAACTAATTTGTTTGATTTTTAAAGACTAAAGTTTAATATACATATAAATGCTAATAGTTAAATAAATAAATAAAATAGTTTATTTTATTAGAGTCACGTGATACGTATAAATATTTACAATACTAATTACAAAATTCGTGTAACATTATTAGCCAATCATATGAAAGTCCTCTTATGAACTTCGATGGGCTAGTTAGAAAAAGTTCAAATAATCAAAAAAGTCACGATTTGTACAACCAATCAAAAAACGCCTTCTCCTTAATCAAAAACGAATTATTCGCAATCTTGACCATAAAAAAGATTGGTTTCACGTTTAAAAATCATATATGCAAAATAGAAAGAGATCGGATACAATGATAAAAATAAGCGTCCAAATATTGTACTAATGGCGCAGTAAAAATGATGTGTAAAATTAAAACGTCTTCAATATAACTTTTAATTTTATTTAGGATAATTATCATTATATTATCACTAATAATTATGAATAATTAGAAAGAATAAATAACTTACCAAATAATCTGATCATTTAAATTAATTAGAAATGTTTAAAGTAAATCAAGTACATTTAAGAACATATGAAAAAATTAAGAACCCTAGGCTAAACTACAAAGATCTATTTTCTTGAACGAATGAAAGTTAGTATTCTATAGAAAACAAAACGATTATAATAAAAAGATATCAAACCAGACTTTTTGTTTTATGTTTACAAATTGTTGATACTTTCCAAGTTCATATTCTTGGATACTTCTCGATTTCACCTTTTACGTCGATAACTGAATTTAAGAATTCTGTGATTTTTTTGTCTGCTACAAATTTGGTTACAAGAAAGTTGGATATATATGATCTTTTCAACAAAAGTTCCCTAATTTTTTTTTTTTTAGTATTCTTTCAAAATATCCACAACTTTCTTGACGGTTTAGTTTTAAGACGGAAAACTTCAGAAATTTTTAGGGAGCTTCGATTTATTTCATTTAGAGCTTCACACGTCTTGAGAAGGGTTCATTAAAGATCTTCTTCCATAATGTTCACTTAGTTTGAATTATTAACATTCTTTAAGAGGGCCTAGAATGGTATGAGGACCTCCCGGTTTGATTATTTTCTTTTCTTTTCTTTTCTTTCTTTCCTTCTTTTTACCAATGGAAAGCCTTCATGTTGTTTTTACTGCTTCAAAACACGAACTTGATAATTTTCAATGTCTGAAATGCTACCCATGTTTAATATAACATGCAAAAAAGGTATGAGATCAATAGTAAAAAAAAAAACTATATTACGCTTAGAAAATTTTTTTTTCTTTTCTTTCTTTAAATTTATTCAATACCTACTTGGGAATATATATATCAAAAAAAGAAAGGGACAGGAACAAGCAGAATAAAAGTAAAAAGTAAAAGGAAAAGAAAAAAATACATTAAAACAACAAAATGCCATAACCTTCACCTATTCTTATAAGGAAGTAATTGGCATCTCATATAACTTGAAAAGTCCATATTCGAAACTTCATTTTTTTCGAGTTTACATAATGTACTTGAGATTAGGCTCTTCAGAAGGTTTCACCGCTTCCTTTTCCGAAGATCTTGCTTTCGTATACTTTCCTGAAACACAAAAAAAAAATAACAAAAACAATATCTATCACAACAAGCCTCAATTAAAGCAAGAAAAATGAATTTAGAATCAAATCTGTCTTAATAACTCCCTATAACTTCAAAAAAGGTACAAACATGAGTATTAAAAAAAATTTACCAAAGATGAATTGAATCAATATTTCAAATTTGAAACTTTAACGCTTACTAATTCAATGAGAATAGCTTCGAGATCTCCTGGCACGACTAAATGACCTTCTCTTTGAATAACTACGACTATGAGATCTTCTTTTATCCCTTGACCAACTACGACTTTTAGAACGTGTAGGACTTTTTCTTCTAAAACGTGTAGGCGAGACTGAAGGTGTTCGACGATAAGAATAAGAAGTACGGTATCTTGGTCTATCGCCCATATATTCTCCAGGAGTGGGAGTATGCGGTCTTTGAGTCAATGAATAATCAACACGCATATTTCTACCATTGAGTTCCTAATGATAGTGAATAATACACGAAAGATACGCTTCATTAGTAATTACTATTTTCAAGAACCAATTTCATCATATCTACGTACCATGCCGTTTGTCTTGTCCTTGGCAATGGTTGATTCATCAATTGAATTCATATAAACGAATCCAAATCCACGAGAACGATCGCTCTATGATTTCATAGAGATACGTATTAGATTATTTTATTTTTTTTCTCTCATAAAGATGTAACTTTGCTATAATACGCACCCGATGATCGTATACAATAGTAACATTATTAACTCTTCCATAGCGTTCAAATATGTTTTGTAGATCTTTTTCAGTAGTCCTAAGACTCAGGTTAAAAACTCCTAAAACATGGCTGGGTTCAGGTTCCTTCAAAATAAATGTGAATTAGAGATTATAATTACCAAAAGATAACAAAGCTTATCAATTATTATAACTTACATCTCTTCTACTCGCTCTCCTCCTTCCTCGGCTTCTATCGCGACTCCCATGGCTCCTAATAGGGCTTCTAAAAACGGTATGTTAATTTTTTTTTTTAAAAAAAAAAAATAAAAGACAAATCAAAACTAAACCAGTTACCTTCTCCTTCTGTCTTTACTTCTTGAACGACTCCTACTTGAAGAAGTTTTGGAGTATGAACGACGCCTATGACGACGAGTAGAACGCGATTTTCGTGGACTACGACTGCGTGTTCTACTGCGACTAATAGATCGGGGACGTGGTGAACGTGAACGTAGGGCTCGCGAACGAGAAGAGCCATGTTCGCGACCGCGTTCAGTTTCACCGTTTGATGGTAAAATATCTTGCATGAGTATGTTCGGAGATAAGTTGGAAAGTGGGTGGTGTAATTTCTTTTTTTAATAGTAACGGAGACCTTCTTTTGAAAAATACGAAAGTTTAGGAGTGAATGTTTTTTTTATTTACAAACAAAAAAAAAGCCAACAAAAAAAAAATAATAGAAATATTTAAATAGCTTACAGTTACTGATACGCTGTTAGCGTGTAAACGATAATTTAAAAAAAAAAAAAAAATAAAATAAAAAAAAAATAAAAAAAAAAAGTGTGAATTACAAATTCAACTATTTAAGCTTCAGGAACTTTTTCAAGTTTAGAATTGTCGATCAGCATGTCGTAGTTCTCAACTTTTAAGTTGTGCAACATTGCTGACGTCATAAGGAGAAACTAAATTTATTTAATGAAATGAAATATTAAAAATATTAAAGAATATTTATAAAATATATAATACCAATCTAAGTTACACTTTATAATAATACATTTTTTTTGAAAAAAGTTAAATAGATAATCGGGATTACTCTATGAATCTATATACATGATTGGGATAAAGGCTCAAGTATATCGAGTAAAGTCGATAACAGGTTCCAATCCCAACACTGTATTCATATCAACTTGATTATCGTGTGAAGTGTTACTTCCGGTTCGTTCCTTTAAACGTTTTATTTGCCTTAAACGATCTTTCCAATTAGATACATACTCTACATTTCTACTGCCTCCACTTTGTAAAAATACTTGAGCGAATATGTTTGCATGTAATGCCATTTGACGAACGAATGCTGGTAAAGCTGCCGCTGATACCATTTTAAATTCTGTTATTGGTCCAATTTCAGGCATATCTGAACGACGCTGCATTATAACCTTGAAGAATGAATTATTATTTGTTTTCGATGATTGTAAGGATGAAATGAAAAAGTCTTGATGAGAATGAGGAGAAATAACAATATTTATAAAGTTAAAATGACTTGGTAGTGTATCAAATGCATATTCTTGTCCGGAATTGTTAAACACGATTGTAACAAAGTCATTGCCAATATGTCTCTTCTTTCCAGCACATTGAGGATCACGATCCAAATCTGTTGGCATCAAAGTAGCACAATGAAATATCACTTGAGTAATATCTTCTTTCCAATAATAAGCGTATTCCCCATCTATATCATACTCTGTATCCAGACCTCCAGTATATACATTTTTACAATTTTTTAGTCGAACCAAGTTACCCAATTTATTCAGAAATTCTATATAATCTTGTGATCCATGAACGTTAGAAAGTATTTCAATTTCATCGGTCTGATTTTTTCCAACATATAATACGCCAATCTTGTGAAAATCTACGACTGGCGTACGATCCAATACTGATAATGCCCGATTTGTAGATTCTTCGTCTGGTAAAGGTCGAGGAGCCTCTTTAGATATGAGATCGGGATAAGGAGAAATTTGCAAGAATAAAAAGCTTGGATTAATATGGGGATCATCCTTGCGATACATATTCTTATCAGCAATTAAACTTGCAGGATCAGTGAAAATTTCATTGATCACGTGTTTTTCTTTTAATGCATTTGAGGTAGGTGGTTCGTTAATATCATCAGTTAAATTATTGTATTGCTCAAAGTAATTCTCAGAACCCGGTAAGGCCTCCGTTTGTAAATTAGTTACGGATGTCTCGCTATCATTTTCTGAAGATCCTGTATTAGAATTAGTCTCTAACTTTGAAGAAACAAGATGAGGTGAATTATTTGCTGATGATGAACTATCCGATTCTAAAGTAGAATTTCCATTTCTTTCCTCCACCTTAGTTTCTTGCACTTTCACAAGAGGACTTGTGTTCTCAACATTATTCTGATTATTTACTACTACTACTTCTCCTCCTCTTATAGGATCATTGGTTTCTAATTTTTCAGAAGCTAAGTCAATTGCACTTTCGGGAAGGGTTATAATATTCTGAGATTCAGGATCATAATGAGCCATTAAAGTTGCAGGCAAAGTTATGAAATCTGCATCTTCCAACTTGTTTCGATTTTCAACTTTGCACAAGAATGCTACACTACCAGATGGCCGACGAACTATAATCTCTGCCCAACCAAATGACTTCATTGTACGCATGGTTAAGAACGCATTCCCTTGAACCCAAGTACGAGATATTACTTTATCCTTCCCTTGTTCTAATAAAATTTGATTAATAAAAGATTGTTCGGGTTTAGGATCACAATTAGCAAATGTGTAACGCGCAAGCATGTCAAAACATGTTTCAGTTTGTTCGTCCACTTTTGGATTCGACCCATTTGCAAGTAATAAACCATGAACGATAAAAGTCACATACTTTTGACGTTCTGGAAGCCTTAAAGACATGAACCAAATATAAATGACATGATATGCCATAACTCTTTCATATTGTGATAAAGCATTGGTACTTTGCGAACTTGCTGATGTTGTAGAACTTGACGACGTATTTGGTTGATTATGGCTACTACTGTTTGGAGTAGAAGTTGATGAAACTGTCTGGCTGTATTGAATATATTGCATGGCAATTCCAAATACACGCTTGTAATCAGCTTCCGTAAAATTTACATAAAGGTGTGGAAGCCTTGCTAACCCAGAAAGAAATTCAAGAATATGAACGCTCATTGTTGCCGTTGTTATAATCTGCGATAATTTATTTAGAGTGTCTGGAAGAAGTTTTGTAGATGAAAGAGGTAATTCAAATAAGCAGATATTAAGTGCATGAATACAAGGCTTTGCGGTATGAGCCCATTTTTGTAAACCAACGTGAAAAGCCAAAACTAGTTCATCTCGTTGTGATTTATTAAACAAGTCGCGATAGCTGATGAGAACAGTTAAAGTTTGGTAAACTACCGCATAGATATCCATCTTCTTGATATCATTCGGTAATAACATGCCTTTGGCAAATCGACTATTCGAAATCCAATCACATAAACAACTTCTTAAAGTACGAATTTGTTCATAGCATGCGCAGAATAAATGTTTCTTGCTCAATTGTATTGGGAGAAAACACAAAACATAAGAATAGATCTCCCAATCCTTTTCTTTAGTGAGAATGTCAATTAGGCATTGTAAATATAAATTGATCGGCAAGAATATCGCATCGGTTGAATCCGATTTCAAATTGCCATGATCTTGGACGAAATTCTCCTGATTAGCATTGATTTTGTTATTTGATGACTTATCAAAACAAAGTACGTATGGACTAGGACGTAAAGCTGTAAGCCGACATCGTAAAATTTCAGGAATTTGCCAAAGACGTTCCAACGGGGTAATGATCTCTTCCTCGGGGATATTGCTATTTTCTACTTGAAGAGGAGTAGATTTACTATTATTTTCCCTTCGATCAAGAAGTATTGAAGCCACTTCTTTCAAACTAGACCTTCGCTCGATCTTTTTTTTAAAACTAGTTTTAAGCTCAACTCCTAAACCAGTAGAACCCGTACCGTTTATAAATTTTTCTGAATTTACGGGGGGTGAAGTATTCTCAATAATAGATTTATTCCGATGTAAAATATAAGCTCCACTCACAACATCCACGTCCTCTATGAAATAAATCCTATGATCATTATCAGCTCTCATACGAGCAAATAGCTGTAACAATGCAAGACGACATATCACGGGAGTTGAAAAGTCACCGAGGAGACTTATCATTTCTTCATACACTTGTACACTTTGTGCGGGTGAATCAACTTTATACAAGCAATGCTGAAATATGCTGATAAGGCCATTAATTGAAATTGAACTTTTACATCCCGCAAGATGATTTGGGCGCTGTTGACAAACGCAAGGAACGCATTGTACTAGAATTTTGAGCAAAGGTTTAAACCAATGGTCCGATACCTCTTTTAATACAGAAACTAAAAAGTCCATAGAATTATTAATAACTTCAATGTCATTATCCCTAGGGAAATCCATAAACATTGGTAATATAACAGCTTCAAGAAGTTTATCCAGATAAAAATCTTTTGTAGTTTCATAGACATCAACCGTCATAGAGAGAACGCGTTGACGTATCCTTGAAGGAACTTTAGCTATGTAAAATGTGTTCACCACATCAACTAATAATGCAAGCCAATCCGGAGATGATGGGTAAAGCAAATGTTCAGAATCGTAATAATCAAGTAACATTAAAATGGTATTTTCAGAAACATAATCTCTTAATGCCTGAATAAGAGCAATGAATCGTAAGGTTGGACCTTCGAAAGAAGATAACATGTGCAGAGATTGTATTTGAAATATCACCCTACTATAAGCATTAACCACCATTGATGACCCATCATTATCAACTGAATTTATGTTTGTAGGATTATCGGACATTATTGTATTTCTTCCTGCTAAAGGACCATTATCTAACAAATGATATTTGGTATGATCCAACATATCTATTATAATTTCCCACTCCAATGAAGTAATGTTCTTTTCATATTTTGCGATAAGATCATTGATTTGTATTAAAATTTCACAATGAACATCAACATCACCACAATTATTTATGGCCTGTCTCATTGCAGAAAGGACAGTGGAATACGTATGTGAAAGAGAGTCAATCCCTTCTGGGCCCCATATTGCCCATCCCAAAAATAAAACAGAACCACGCAAGATCTGCGGAGAAGTGACAGACTCACTATTCTCCAAATTACTGCAAAGAATTTTGATTGTGCTATATGCACAATGACTCTTTAAAAGGTTCCGCATAATATGCCAACTTTTTTGTGAAATTGAACCTTCTTGATTAAGTTTATCGCATAGTACATCAACATATGATTTCAATGAAATTGTTGGCACATAACCATAACGTACAACAACATCCCAAAATCTCAGACAACATTCAATATCTGGAATGTCCTTAGATTTCTTACAAGCGATTGCTATATCTTCAATGAGCCGAGAAATATCAGGTTCCTCAAATTGTGCGAAATGAAATTTGATCACATTTATTAATAAACTAACCACTGATTGTAACCTTGTAGGTTCGGAATTTTGTTGTATAGTCAATTCAGAAGTTGATGATTCCGTTGCCGTACTAGATGATGATGATGATATTGTTGATGATGATGATAATTGAAGGGAAGAATTTGAACCATCTTGTGAAGAAGTCGTGGAAGATGATGATAATGGGGGAATAGGTTTCGACTGTTCGTTCTGATGAATACATGTTGATTGATCGTCCAATTGTTGTACTGTCTCATTAACCCATTCTGAAAGCAATTTTACTAAATTTTTTTCGAAAGAAGAAATATCTCTTCCATCATTACAAAGTTCTTTTAAAGCTAATAACCTAATCTCAAAATCCTCTTTAATATTATGAGATTTGATACAATCATAAAATATTATTCTAAGAAACCCTAAATTATCACGATGTTGACTTTTAATACAAGCTATCATGAACTGAAAAGCAACGTTTCTCGCATCAAATGGCCTATCAGGAGTAAGAAGTTCGTTAACACAAAACCAGACTTCAGTCATATCTGAGAAAGTGTATTTTGTTACTATGTTACATAATTCTCTAACAAGTTTAATGAGCGTGAGTAAAGGATATGGTTTTCGTAGTTCTTGAACAAGGAGTTTAGTATCTATAGGTTTTCCTTTCTTGAGATTATTAGAAGGTTGTGGTGGTGGTTGAGCGTCTTCACCATTTACTTCACTAGATTCCGCAATAAGAGGATCTAAACCTAAAGTATCTACGATAGAAACATCTGTCCGTGGACGTGCAGCACCACCACCAAAAACTCCACGTAAAAAAGAAGCACGTTTAGGAACTTTTGTTTCGTGGGAGTGTGCCATAGTTAAATAATGTTCATATTGCTTAAAAATTATGAAGGCGGCGTTTTTGGTTCTTTTTTATCAGGATTTGCGTAAGGCACGTGAATCGTAAGCTTTGATTTAAATCACGTGGATGTGTGGGTATCTTTGATCTAAAAGATCTTGGTAGAATCTTTGCTGAATGACGTAACCAATCTTGTTTGAATAATTAATCTCTTAAAAAAAATTTGTGATGTCAGAAGTTTTCAATCAAAAGACCAAATTTATTGTTTATGTACAAAAAAAATGTCCATGAATTCAAGCTATCTAATATTTTTCTCCCCCCAAAAAACATCCAGTGCTTTTTATCTATCTTTATACAAATAAGAAAGAAAGAGATATCTAATTTTGAATCCACCGATATATACATTTTTTATTATTCAATTATGATTATTTGTTATAAAGGTGCAAATATGCAAATATATATATATATAATATAATAATAATAATAAAAGTACTTTTTATGTAAGATTAAAGTCCTTTAAGTTTTTATGAAATATCAAAGTCCTTTAAGAAATAATATTTAAAGTAAAAGTTAAAAATCTTAACAAATAATTAAAATATATATATAGATATTTTGAATAGGTTTGCTTAAATCCATTCAATAATATTCTATATATAGTAAAGTTTGATCTAAAAGTTCGTGGAAGGATTCTAAATATACAAAAGGGTAAAACTTCAAGAGGATATATATATAAAATTCAGTCTCATCAAAGACTTAACGTTTGACTTTTTTGTCCTTCTTTTTCATGCGTCTTTGTTGTTCTAAACGTTCTTCCTCCTCGTCTTCTTGTTTTGCGAGACGGGAACTGCGTGCTTCCTCACGCAATACTTGATACCCAGATACCTCCATTATGTCATCATCATTGTCGTCTACCATCCCATGGATGGGTCGCCTCCCTGGGCGAATTAATGAATGGATGATTGAGGACATATTCTGCTTAAGCGTTTCTTCATCCAATCTATAAATATCGAATTCGTCATTCCCAGTATTCCTTCTTTTTACTCGAGAAGAGGAGGTAGCCTCCGAACGTTCATCAAACTTTCTCTTCTTGTGCAAGGTTTCATTCCCATTCGTAATTCTTTTTTTTTGAACGTTATGATGACCTGGGCGTAAGGTATCATCCACTACTCGCTTAAATCGACCTTCTGTTTCAGCAGACGATTTTTGTCTGCGTGCCCGTTCCTTTTCTACTTCCAGTTTTCTTCTTGCTTCTGTAAAATTTTCTTGACGTCTTTTCGTTTCTACAACTCTCTCCTGATGACGTCTTTTATCTGCTGATCTCTTTTCCATTTTCCTTCCTTCCGTAAACTTTTCTTTCCGCTGCAAATCACGTTCCCATGTTTCTCCAGCTCTTTTCCTTTCCAACAATTGCTTTTCTATATCTTTTCGCTGTAACCCCTTTTCTTGACTCTTCTTTCTTTGTTGTTCTTGAAATTGTTCGAAACCTTTTTTCAAAAGATTAGGATTCTCAATGACGTCTAACGGGGTCACCTTATTTTTAAAAAAATTTTTTTCATTAAGAAAAGCTATATGAGCACGGATTTGCTCATCCTTTTTAGGACCTTTCTCATTCCTGAAGGCTGCAATTTCCAATCGTGTATTGAGATGTTCGATTCTCTTACGATCAAGTTTTTTATCACCGTCCGACTTTTCCTTATCTTGCTCTAAAAGCCTTCGAAGTCTCTCAAATTCAAATTCTCTTGCAATTTGTTCCACGGTAGGCATATAATTCTTATCATTTAAAATCTCTGAAGGCAAAAATAATTCCAAAGGCTTATATTTCCCATCTTTTTCTCGTGATAACTTCCATCTCTCAACATACATTTGCAATCTTGGTATCGACTTGATTGCACTTTTATTACTCGACCTTGATAATGTTCTCGTCTTTTCTTGTTTAATAGCAACTTGTTTAGGATGCAATTTATCACTAGTAGATGTTACCTTTCCTTGATAAACAGCTTGTTTGCCCTTGTTATTAGGCAAATTGCCGCCAATACTTTTTGAAGTAGATGTCAAAGATGTTGGCTTTTCCAGATGGAAGGGAATAGATTGCTTCACTTTGTTAGCAATCAAATTCCCGCCAATACCCTTTGAAATTGGCTTTCCTTTATTGATTACAGCAGAAATTCCCGTGACCCCTTTTGGTACAGATAAGGAGGATTTTGACTTTATTTGGTTTAAGCCAGCCTGCTTCTCTTTGTTAACAGGCAAACTTCCACTACTAGTATTTTTTAATTTTGACGTCGCAGTAGCGATTGTCCTTTCATTCTTAACTGCAGCTTTCTTTTCCTCATCATTTGTCGTCACATTACCACTAACCTTGGAAGTCGATGAAGTAGCTTGTTGTCTTTTCTGAGTTACTACTCCGTTTTTACACTTGTTGACGGACACGTCGCCACCAGTATTCAATGTAGACGTCTTGGTTGTTGGAATTTCCTGTTTTGCAACTTCATTAAAAGAAAGGCATAATATTTGAAAACAAAAAGAATTAGCTCCGCTATAGTGGTTAAGCTTTTTGAATTAAAAAATTTTAAACTTACCAGAAGCTAACTCAGATTCCATACGCTGACGGACCTTCTTCTCTAGTTCTTCGAGGCCTATGGTGTCACCTGCTAACTCGAGCTTCCTCTTTTCAAGATATTCATTCATATTAAATTTAAGTGGTTCCCCCATGGAAACTCTAGCAGATGAGCTCGAAATTTTGTCTAGCGTTT